TTATTTGTTTATTTACAAATATTTAGACAGGGTAGCTCAGTTCAGCAAATAGCTGGTTTAAATGGGGCCCTGTGAAACAATAACACCCACCCATCCCACCCCAGGGGAGGACATCCACCACACAGTAATCTCATGCGTGGGAAATTAATGTCTCCTTCCCCTAATCCTGCAGGAGATGGGGCCTACAGTTTATTCATCCTTATCCAAGAAGACTTGAATATCTATCCATTTCTTGATATTATAGAAAGGTAGCAAATTCTCCTCAGTTATTTTAAGACCATGTGTATTGGTCCGGCCAGGGCTCGAACCCTCAACCTCCCACACAGCACAATCCAGCGCTCTAACCAATTGAGCTAATTGGGGGGCAGTTACCATCAAGCAACCTTGACTCTGTGCTGCCATTTACTTTAGAAGGCTATGTATATGGAGTTAAGTCACTTAAAATATTTTATGAGTTATGTCTTGAAATAGTTTAATTTTAATTTTTCACATTTGCCAATCAAGGATTCTTTCCGAGAACTTTGGAATCAAATAATGTCCCCAAGATCTGGATTGGACCTACAGAGTCACAGGTTTCGTTTGAGGACTTATCAAAATTGTTTTGTTGGTAGTGAGTTGGTAGATTGGTTCCTGACACATGAAAAAACATCCACAAGGTACAGCCCTCCAGCAATAAATAGTTATAAACTTTGTATTCTCAGATACTTCAGTTTGTTTCAGCAAAGAGGCTTGAGGCACTATCCTATATCCAAAAACTAGTCGAAATATTTATCAAAACAGACTAAAGAAATTGATGAAATACCCAAAACAACAACCTGTATTAATCTAAACGTGGAAAACAAAACTGAAAACCTTGCAACAGCAAATGAAAAAAACTGAAAACCACAAGGAAACTAAAATCCAGAGAACCAACTCTGAGGCAAAATTGAAATAACTGAATTAAAAAAAAAAAAAGAAAAGTAAATATTATAAAAAAAATCCTTCATGTTATGCTCCATTCTTTAAGGGAATCAAAGAAGAATAAGTCTTTGTCAAAAAAATATTAAATCAGACATGGAACAATATGGTTCAATTTTCAAGGGATTTTAATTTTTTCCTTTAATTTATTTTTCTCTATTTAATGCTAAAACCTTGTTATTGGACATTAAATATCCAAATTTCCATGAATAAAGGAAGATAGAAAACAAAAATGAAGCATAATTAAGAGAAATGTCAAATTTATCAATAGTAGGCTAAACTCACTGTGACTGAGCACGTCTGATGACATGAAAATTTTTCAATGGAAGGGAAAGAATGTGCAAGAAAAAGTTTGCCAAACTCTTTCACTCCCAAGATCTCATTAGAAATTCTCCTTACTGTCTGTTCACAATAATTCTTATTATGTTTGGAGAATTTGGTTTTAGATCAATTATTAATCCCCTCATTGATTTGTTTCTTTATTCTTGTCTCTTATCTGCATAGTATTGTATCAATATTGTTGAAGAAATTCTGTCTTAGGGGAGTCAAAGGACTGGAAAAAAATGATTTAACTATTTAACTTCCAGAGGTGATTAACATGTAACTTCTCCCTATGATATCCATACATGATCCAGCAAACGGGTAATGAGAATACTCAAACTTATCAGATAGAAGTTCCCTTGATTGAACACCAAATTCTCAGAACCAATTTACAAGGAAATGTGTAGCATCTAGAGGGGAGAATTCATAATCAGATCTTGGGAGTTAGAGGGTTAAGTTCTTTTTGATAACTTAGTAGCTCATTCAAATTGTAAAAATTCCAAATTTTTCACCAAGAAGAGGAAAATATTTAATAAGAAAATAGAAACAATCATAACAAGTAGGACAATAGATCATTTCCGAGATCCCCCACTCTTGACTCCTGACCCATTTTAATGGGTTTTTAACTTTATCAGTGCAAAGTGAGGTACACTTTTAACAACTGCTAAATTCTCAGTTTCAACAACAACAACAACAAACTGTATTCATTAATTCACAAATTATAATTTCATGTTAGCTTCCATCCGCATAATAGAAAAGTCTAATCGAGGCAGGGGAAGAGACGCACAAGTTTATAGAGAGGAAAAGACTAAGAATATTTTACAAATAGTACCAGCTGTCGCACAATGAAATTATGGTATCAGTTAAAAATATTGTTAAGATACAAAATACAGTTTTAACTACTTTATCTATAATTTATATTGTTTAGACAACAAGCAGTTATGATAGGACAAGGGTTACTGGAGTCTGGCTGGCTCGAACCTGTTCCAAACACTCGTGATGGAGGAGCGGTATTCAAAGATGAATACATTCTCTACCAGCCCGGAGTTGTAAGTATATGATTAACCTTGCTCTGTACCCATTTCCTTTATTTTTACCCAAGTAGTGTATGGATTTGTAATTCTTAAGAGAGAAAGAATGATTGTATTACGATGACAAAAATTATGTTTGGTGAGCGCAGTAGTGAATGCATTGGACGTGCAATCCGGAAGTCCTCGTTACGAGTCCGGCTGTGAACACCCGCAGGATTTGATTCTCGGTAGGAAAATGTTCAAATCCAAGGTCTCGTTTAACAATTACATTGCAGTCAAACTGGTTTGCCTCCCGGCATATGGCCTTTTCAACCATGTCGAGTATGATTGGACTTATCTACCCCATTACATGAAATTGTCGCGACAGCATAATTTCGCGATTTTTATGTGCGCATATTTCGTGATGCCTACATTTTGCGATTTTTCGAAAATTTTGTATTTTGAAGGAGAGGAGCATTGAGTCTATTTTTTTTTTTTTTTTGGAATCGTGAAATTGGCGAAATTTACTCGTTGCGAAAATATGATGTAATATGGTATATATTTGCAGTTTTTTGTATTTTAAATCTTTGTGCAAAGAACTGTTTGGTCACCAGTAATTAATTTCATCTTTATTTTCAAAGGCTGCGGGGCGTGAGATTTCCGCCAAGAGATCATCTCTATACTGGTCAGATGCAGACAAGTGTGGCGACAAAAATGAGCCATTGAACGAGAGTGACGAGTTTCAGAACATTCCGGAAAATGTCGATGATGATAATGATGAAATGGTGCCGCACTGGTTCCGACAACTGGAGCAACACGGAGTGGAATCAGCTATTGAAGAGTTGGACGCTAGTTTCGGTAATGAAGTAAGTTGTCAATTTTCATCTCATTTGAAAAGCTTAGAATCAAAATTTCCCATCTAGTGTTTGGTTTTATTGAAGTCGTTCCAAAGTGGCTTAGATTTCGAATGCATTTTGTTTTGAATGACGGTAGTGGTTTGTTTTATTGAAGATGTTCCAAAGTGGCTTAGATTTTGGATGCATTTTGTTTTGAATGACGGTAGATTTCATTCAATGAAAATATGAAAATAAATGTGGTCTAACATTTTGATGTTGTCTCCAGCAAGCCTAATGATATGTACGGTCAGTGAATATACTTCATGCGTCATAGATTGGTCATGTGGTCTAAAATGGGTAAACAACAGTCGCGGCTACAGTAAAGCGTAGGGAATAGTACACTTTCGTTGCGTCTGCCACAACATTTCCACAAATTTGAACTTTTCTTTTCATAAATACACCGAGTATTATAATTTGTAGAAGTTAAGTATGCATTCAATATTTCTTGAACTTCTAGTCGCACGGATGAGTTTTAATCTGCATGAGTCAATGGCCAGAAACCCGGAAAAATTATTTTGTCACGTCTCGATTTCTAAATGTCAGGGTTGTTTTCAGTTTCTTTTAAAACAAATGTGGATTTTTAGAACAAAATAAGATCAAAACAAAGACTTGGAAAAATGTTGATAAACATTTTCCCTCGGCTGATGATAACTTAATTTAGTTATATGAACTAACTTGAAATTGTAAATTTGCCACCGTAAAGAGTTAAAATGCTCACGTTTCGAGCGTTAGCCCTTTGCCTTTCGCTCTGGCGAAGGGCTAACGCTCGAAACGTCAGCTTTTTAATTCTTTACGGTGGCCAATTTACAATTCCAACTTAGTTGATATAACCAAATTACCTTGTTACCACTATCGACGCAGCACCACAGTTTCTTTAGAAACTTACCCCCTTAATTCATTTGATGATAACTTTAAACCATACTCAGGTAGACATGATTCTGAACTTTATTCTGACTTTGTGTCATTTTTTTTTTTAATAAACTAAGTACTCCAAAAAATTTCCTCTTACTTATTAATTTGCTTAATTGTGCTTCTTTTTTTTGCTTCAAAATGCAAAAAAAAAAAAAAAACTGTTGTTGCCCATAACACCTGAACTCTGGAAGCAAGCAGTATTATCTTGAAAGCACTGTATACATCAAAATATAATCAAGAGTTTACCCTGCAGTGCTTTTATACTTCGGCATTACTCTTTTTTTTTTTTTCTGTTTCAAACTTTTTTCTTTTCAATTTGGTTCAATGTCTGAGGTTTGTTTGTGTTTATCTTTCAGGCACCTGGAAAAATAAACAACCATAAAACAGGTATTCTGATCACTGCACTAGAAGTACCTTTTTTCGAGTGGGTCAGCATTTTTCCTCACCGCGTTAAAAAAAAAAAACAGAATTGTAATTAGGCTCGCATTCTTGAGTCTTTGTTCCTCCCTGAGAATAAATCACATCTCTTGGGTGCATTTTATGCACAGTGGCTACACAGCAAGCCTAAATTCCATTTGAATGATCGTGAATCACAAGCAGTGAGCAAGGAGCCATGCTGTAAATGTATCATTGCTAGCCTTAATTAGGCTCTCAGTCAGGAAAGACGAACAAAAAAGGGGTGTGCAATAAAATCGCCGCGTTCGCTTATTGAGAGCCTGGTACAGGCTCAACTTTTGCCAAATCTGATTTGATATTCAATTTAATTTTGATTTACTTTGAGAAGAGAACGTAGCTCCCGGTTTAGTGGTCTGGCCTTGTCATTGTTTATACAGGCCCCCATTTAAATCAGCTTTGAGCGGAACTGGGCCAGCCTGTCGAAACGTCGCAAATACATACAATACATACATAAATACATTTTATTTTAATTTTGTCATGTTAAAGGACTAAAACTGCTGGACCTTGACTTGGTGAATGGCGTCACTACGGAGGAGGAAGACAACGGGATGTCACTCAAAGTTGACTTGCATCATTTTGGAGAGGTGTGCATGCGCACTTTACCCTTTCACTCTCAAGATCTAAATTTGAATTCTTTACACTATTTTACGTAATTTCTCACAATTTAAGATCGAAGAATTTGGTGTCAAAGCCTTTTGACATGAACGTGTAAGCGGATTCCATACGTGCAAAACTTTTTGTTTAGTTCTTTTTTTAAGTTATATTAAGTTTTGAAACGTTTTTTAATCAGTTCCTATTGTTATAGGTACTATACTATATATAAATATATATATATATATATTTATATATGGTATAGTATGCAGTTATATAGTATGCACTATATATAAATATATATATATATATTTATATATAGTATAGTATGCAGTTATATATATATATATATATATATATGGTTTATATTTAATGGTTTTAGAAGTCATATTGAAAACAAAACCTCATTAAAATTAACTTTCAACGCACTTTAAAACACGCCTACTACTTTTCTTTTTTTTTTTGTAGTAGACGTTGAAAACTAATTTTAATGAGGTTTTGTTTTCAATATGATAATGAATGATACTTTCTTAGCTTCGATAATCAAAATTTCGCAAAAATGGTTTTAGAAGTATTTTATCGAAATGTTTTATAGTTAAATGCTTTTCTTAATCACTTCTTCATAGATACAGTGATGTATTAATTTTACACCTCTGGTAACTTCAACAATTTGATTCCTCCATTTCAGCAAGGAAAACTTAACACAACATCTTCAGATGCGAATGGCGAAGCAAAAGCATCGCAGCTTTCCCTGATCACTGACGTTCCCCCACCCCCACTGGAACAATATGTGTACAATGAAGGATACCCATACACTCCTTTGAGACCAAGCAACAAGAAGAATCAAGAAGAGTTGGTGTTGAGCAGCAGCAATACTCCGGATGAGATCTTCAGTGGTGCTATGATAGCAAGAAAGATCGGCGTGGACCGAGCTCCAGCATCTGAGCTGGGAGACCTCAGAGAAGACAACGGAGAGAGGTTGGCCATGGAACGACTGAGGTAGGTTGAGTTCTTCACGGTAATATATGGGCAGAAAAGCGTTGTATTCTAGTGGAAGGCTGTTCGATTGAGTGTCTTAATACCCAACCCAACAGCCAATCAGAAGAGAGGAAAGTATGACAGGGAGCGAATGAGATCTCAAAGTGCTCAAAGTGCCTAAAGCGCGGGAAAACGCGGGTGAACAAAACGTTGGTCTTGTTTCAAATCTGATTGGTTGTGAAGATGACGCGATTTTTCTGAACCAATCACATAGCAAAGTAAAGCAAAACCAAAACAACAAGGTGTGTCCTTCACCATATTGAAATGTGGATTCTTAGTGTGATTCAGCCGCTTAAACTGATTTGATTCGAGTTGTTAGTCGAATGAGCCTCCATCTCAGTACACGAGCGTAAATTAACGGTATACAGGATTTCAACCTCGACGTTCTCAAAGTTGCAGATCATAAAGAGTTCGCGAGGAATGAAGTTTGAATCGTCAGAAAAAAACTCGAGGGAATTTACCAGGAAAGACTCGTGGGAACTCGTTGTTTTCAAGAGATTCAAACGCGGCATTGCTGTTTTAATCCGTACACTATAGTTCATGTTAGTGTAGGTTATCTTTTTCTTTTCCAGGACTTCTCACGCGTTCCATTTGAACATACTGCTGGAGCAGCTACTGAAGGATGCTGGGTTATCAGTTGATTGGAAAGATACCATACTACCCCTAGTAAAAAGAGTTAGTGAGCAGGTAACAAAAAGAAAAGGCTGCGAGCATCTAATTTCTCCATACAATATCACTTCTGAATCACGCATTCAGGTCATGAGATTAAAGGAAATGATCACCAACTGAAGAAGCTCTTGGTTGTTAAACAAATTCTCCTTGTCAGCACCTTAGGAAATGAATAGAGAACAGTATGGAGAATATGCATACTGATGTTAAAGTGTACAGAGTTAACTGCTTGTATAACTTGTTCAGAACTCTTTGAACAGGCACGAACATGTCGGTTATAAAAGCAAAAAATGGCAGGCCCGAGGAACAGGGTATGACGAGTAGGGTATAGCAAATAGTTTTTGCAGCGCGCGGGAAAACATACGTTGAATTTACAAACAGCCTTCTATCTAAAAATTACTTAAGATGGAAAATTTTCACTTTTCCCTCAGGAGACTCCACGAAGAACAAAAGTTTGTATTCCTCTTCTAAATCAACAGAAGGTTTTTTTTTATCTTGAATTGAACATGCTATTTTTCTAATTGGTGATTTGTAGATTTGAAAAATGGGGTGATAACGTTAGGTTTCCTCGATTTTAACTGGGTAATACCCTGTTCCGAGTGTGCAGTCAGAAAAACGATAGCGTAGGAGAGAATATACGAGGGGGTTTGGATCGGGGGCCTGGAACAGGCTCTATCCGATCACGTGATGCGTTTAGACCAATCATACGTTCACTTCGGTTTTTTTTTTTTATTACTCAGGTGACTCCCGATGTTCGTAAAGACGATGATATGAACATATGCGAGTATGTGAAGTTCAAAAAGATTCCTGGTGGAAATAAAAGTGACTGTGAAGTGATCAGTGGTGTTGTGTTCACCAAGAACATCGCGAATAAAAAGATGGCCTCCGTGCTGAGTAATCCTAAAATTCTGGTCCTTAGGTGCGCTATTGATTATCAGGTGAGTGACGTTCAGACATCGCAGATCATTAACTCTTTGACCCACTAATAGTGACCAGCATCTAATTTCTCCTTACAATATCACCCCAGAATCACACATTAAGGTCAGGAGAATAAAGGAAATGATCACCAACTGAATATGCTCTTGATTGTTAAACAAATTCTCCTTGTCAGCGCCTTAGAAAATCTATAGAGAACAGTATGGAGAATACGCATACTGATGTTAGGGTGTAAAGGGTGAATAATATTGTGAAGTGCCTAATATTGTTTAACCGCCTCCCGGTTAGCTCAATGGATAGAGCGCTGGACTGTTGTGCGGGAGGTCGAGGGTTGAAAAAAACAAATAATTGAGAAGAATATGCTACCTTTCTTTAACATCAAGAAATGATTAGATATTCTAGTCTTCTCGGATGGGGACGAATAAATGGAGGTCCCATCTCCTGCAGGGTTAGGGGCAGGAGACGTTAATTTCCCACGCACGAGATTACTGTGTGATGGATGTCCTCCCCTGGGCTGGGATGGGTGGGTAACAGGACCTCCACTGATACCAGTGTTTACTACACTGAAGGGGCTATCCTGTATAAATATAGATGTCTACTCTACTCTACTGAAACTCGGGTTATTTTGTTGATCCATGCAGTTTTTCAGTAGCTTTTGTATATGATTATAATAGTGTTTGGTTCGACTTGAGAATCAAACTTCCTTGACTGTGCTCGTGCATGCAATAAGTTCAGTAGAGGTGAGCATTTTTAGGGATGGCACAAGTGGTCAAATAGGTTTTTTGAGACAACATCCTCTTTAACCCTTGAATTCCTATGGGTGACCAAGACGTAATTTCTCCTTACGACATCAACACAAAATCAAGCAGATAAGTGATGAGAATACAGAAAAATGTCAATTAGGGGTTTATTAGTTGATCCAACACCACCAATCTAAAATCTTAAGAATTGTGTGGGAAACAGTAAAGAGAATTGCTACTGTGATCTTGGGAGTAAAAGAGTTAAAAAAATTTTTGAGAGTAGGAGGGTAAGTGTAGCTCTAAATCGGTAAATCTCTGTATCTTTGGTATTTCTTTCCTGTTCAGTTCGTTATCATTGTAATATTTCTCTATTTTAGCGCAATGAAAATCGCCTGGCTTCTCTGGATCCGCTTATCCTCCAAGAATCCGAGTTTCTCAAGAACTTCGTGGCTCGAGTGCTTTCTTTACGACCCAATATCCTGTTGGTGGAGAAAAGTGTTTCACGCCTGGCACAGGAAAATCTTCTGGAAAGGGGGATCACGCTTGTCTTGAATGTTAAACCAGTAAGTTCATCAAGAAAGATAACTCAGTGCATTGATTTGGCTGTACTTCGTTAGGGCGTTTTTCGATCGAGTGTCGTAAAACCAAAGTAATCACAGCGACCGATCAGAAAAAAGGTTACATCATCATTAGCCAAGGAGAACTCGAAATTGCCTGAAGCGCGGGAAAACGCGGCTGACCAAATCGTGATTGTTTTTAGAATTCATCTGATTGGTTGAGAGGATGGTGCGAGTTTTCCGGACCAATCACAGAGCAGAATTACGAAAAACCAAAGCAATCTCAGACTACATTCGACTCTCACTTGAAAATTGCTCTGTCTGCCTGTTGCCGAAAACTCGCGCCTTTCTTTCAACCAATCAATGCAAATAATTCAGATCCTAACTTTGTCTTTCGCGTTTTCTTGCGCGTCAAGCAGATGGTTTCTTTTTACCACGAGCACCTACTGGCGCTTTGTTTTATTTTAAATTTCTGGATTAAGAATTTGCCAGACCTTGAAAATGCATGTTTCGTGTGCGGTACGAAATTCATCTTACGACTTGGTCATTTCAGAATGTGATTGAGCGTATCGCGAGGTGTACCCGAGCTGAAGTTCTTCGTTCCATGGAGCAGCTCAGTCGACCACAACTGGGCACTTGCCAGTCATTCAGAATACAGAGATATACTCTTAAGGTAAAACTCGTAAGATGTTCTTGCTATTTTTGTTACTCTTCTTTTTTGTAGTCTATTTTAAAATGCTATTTTTGTAGAAAATCTCTTTGGTTTTTCGAATTTCAGTCTGTCTGTCTGTCTGACTGACTAACCATCTGTATCCGTACTCGCTACTCAGTGCAACAAATGACCGGTCACTGCGACGCTTAACGCAGAGTCCACCATTGTATTCCCTTTGTATGGCTTCAGTGCGTGGCAAAAGTAGTTGGCACGTCTCCCCTTAGCAAGTGGTCGACAACCCCACTCGACATAATAAACATAAATCTTGTGATTCGTTTTTAATAGTTAAATTGAAAGTCCCCCCCCCCTTTCCTCCCAAACGGAACGGGGAAAGGGGGGTCTAAATGAAAGTTAAATAAAAATTTCAAAAAGCAGTAGAGTGTACCAAGACTTTTGCCACTTGTTGATAAATTACAAGTTTAGAATAATTTCTCATCTCTACTTCATATTTCACAGAATGGAGAGTCCAAGACTCTTATGTTCATTGAAGGCTGCCCAGCTGATCTGGGCTGTACTGTAAACCTACGAGGCGGGAACAGTTTCGCGTTGGCTAAAGTAAAGCGTATCTTTCGACACATGGTGTACGTTGCTTACAGCTTACGACTGGAGCAGCATTTTCTAATGGATGAGTTTGCTATGCCTCCCGACGACAGTCATTTGTTCGAAGAGTGGGAAATGGCGAAGAGGAATTTCGAAAAGAGGTTTAAAGTATGTGAAAAAGAGGTGGATGGGAAAGAGGATTTCAAGGAATTTTGTTCAGAACAGAGTAAGAACTTGTCTAACACGTCTCAGCAGGACACAGTTGAGGGTAGTGAGCTGTTCATGACTGCCTTGAAAAGCACTGTGCTATCCAGTTCGCCGTTTCTGGATTATCCAATCCCGTATTTGCTGACGGAAGCAGGCAGAAATATGCCTCTGAGATCCACGCTTCCACCAGCTATTTACTGGTCGGCGCGGCTTACCTCAGATCAAAGCAGCCGTTCCTTGACCGAAGAGAGACTAGAAGAGTTTGATTTTTCAAAGCATCCTCACCAGCGATGTCTAAGTAAGCTAGTTTGCAAATTAGAACCTCATCCATTGTTGTCAGCATCGTTAACTATGGAACCCGGTGGTATAGTGTTCCAAACATTACTGTCCGACTTTCGTGCACAGGGAGGGCAAATTCATTTGACGAAAAATGGGATGTCTGTGCGTAGGAGTCAAAGCAAATTATTGAAGAGTTTTACCAAGAAGACACCGAATGAGAAGAATACCGAACAAGGCAGGAATCAGGGAAGGTATGATGAAGGAAAGCCTAAAGCCCTAGAAAAAACTGTGGAGTCAAAAGACAAGAAAGATCCGTTCGTTCCAGCAAGTCCGCTGCATTTTAATCGAAAGGTGAGAGGAATATTTGACGATTTATAGGAAGCGAGATTTTCATAATAGAAAATTTTGTGTATAGCTTTCTGTCACGTCCTCAAGTGAAAAAAAAAATTAAGATTGTGGAAATCAACATGAAGTTTTGTCCAATTAACATCAAGTGGATTTATCGTTCTCGGAACGGTTTTTTTTTTTCTTTTCGTAAATTGGTGAATTTCAGTCACGGTGAAAGTGCTTATGAGTTGAATTTTGTTCACGTCGTTTAATTTCACCCTCTGAAAATGTTACCATAATAATATCATGATTACTAAATTGGCAAAATTCGCAGAACATGTTTATGTTTCACGTTTAGACACGTTTGCCGTCATGAAAAACGTGCCGTCGCTTCGCGTATGCGTTGGTCGCTGATCTGCGGGGGGTATGGCACTAGTCAATGACGTTTTGATGAAAGCCGGTTACAGGCGATGTACAGACAGTTGCGAGATCTCTCGCAGCTGTTTGTTCGACCTCGTTTCCAGGGTCTCTCAACTTCCTGCCCCCCTCCCTCCTGGGGCGGAAAGATGAGAGACCCTGGGAACGAGGTTAATGTCTGTTAGCAGGTTCTCGTCTTTGTGTTTCGCCTTACGGCCACTTTTCCAGGTGCAGCCAGCCATTTATGGAAATATTGTTGAAATCCCTTAGTAATTCTTCATTTGATACATTTTTGTTTTGTAGCAAATGGATTGTTTGGATCCTTATTTCCATCAGAGAATTGCTGTGTTGTTCATCAGTTACTCAAACGAATCGAATAATTCACCTCGGCCGTGCATCAGTCCGTGGTAAGTAACTAGATGAGATCCTTGTTCGCGATACGAAGGGACTTTCATGCAAGTGTCGGAAGTAACGCAGAAATACTTTATCTCCGCTTCATGATTGGTCGACAAAACTCGGGCTACCTTCACGGCTAATCAAATGTAAATCTAAAACCAATTGCAACGTGAGTTTTCCCGCCCTCTTGTGAGTTTTCTTTTCTTTATCTGAGTTCTTATAAGCTTACTGTGGAGTTTTTTTTTTTACGGTTGGATCGACCATTTATCAGTACCTTGGTACAGTGTTATGACATTTGGTCGGGTTGCGCTCTGACCTACTTGGTTTACTCCCAATCAAACTTTACTGATCCTTTGAATGCTAATCAGGCCTCAGCTCTAAGACGAGCTCTTGTTCGGTTTCGACCCGTAGGGTATACCCGTGGGGTATACCCTTGGAGTATACCCGAGGGGTGTACCCGTGGGATATTTATTTAGGTAGGCGTATTCCTTCCAACCCTGATCCTTTTAACCCTAATAGGTTATTCTTTCCACCCTAATTCAGATAAAATAATATCTAAAAAGTTACGCATGCCTAAAATCATACTTGGACAGTTTTATACGCCAGAACTCCATCCTTCTCCCAACCCACACACGCGTAGCTTATATCAGGGAGCACCCTCTCCCCCCCCCCGCTTCCAATTGGAAGAAAATTCCCAACTTGTTTTCATGCAGTACAAATAGCAATCCTGTCACGTCTTGCACTTTCCGTTATTTTTATGGTGTGCTGATTCGTTTCAGGGCCGTCTTTATGGAGTTTTACGGACGAAATGATATCACCCTTGGTGGATTTCTGGAGATATACTGCTTCAGGTACAATACTCGTTTTCAGACAGGAGCTAGTTTTGCTCCTTACGTCACGAGGATGCAGTATTTTATGGCTGGTTTTCACTTAAGACAGAGTCACAGTCGCACTCAGAAGTGCAGAGTGACACGATCAAGTGAAACTCAAAACCGACCAAATCGGAAAAAAGATATCGATGCGGCCAACGACTCCTTGAAAAGTGGATTGTCGATATCGTAAGCCATTGCATGGCCTGAGAACTGGCATTGCACTTGGTTGGTTTCTCTGTTTCCTCATGCGTATTCAACAATCTAGTTTTCACTGTATCATAAGCATCGGAGTCATAATGAAGCTGTTCTGTTTCTTCTGACTCTCGCTTATGACTCCATTTTTCGATTTTAACTGGGTGGAAGCGCCCTTAAGGCTCCCACTCCGTCGGCAATAAAAAAAAGCCAGCCTTTTTAACAAAGAAATCACCAAAAAATGAGGGTAAATAGTAGATTAAAAAAATAAATTGTATTAATATATCTGTGAACTTTTTTCAAACACGTGGATTCCTTTCCAGGCCTTCCTACATTTGTCCCAGCCCGAACTGTGACATACCCATGGTGGATCACGTCAGGTACTTCGCGCACGGGACGGGGTCCGTGTACATTCACATGAGGAATCTAGAGTCACCTATCCCAGGATTCCAACACACCGTTCTCACATGGAGCTGGTGCAAAGAATGTAAACAGGTGAGACTGATTGTAAACTGGTTTAGACTGTACTTAGAATCTGTTAAGCTGTAACTTAAACAAAGATGAGTTTGGTGGGAACGTAGCCGACATCTTGACGAGTGAGGAGTGACGCCTCTTCATTTTGGGTTTTAAAGAAAGGATGAGAAATATAAAAAAGAAGAAATTCAAATTCGCTCCTCACTCTTTAGTCAAGGGGGAAGATAGTTTGGAGGCCCCGTCGTTAGGTGTATTCTGACATGAAAAGACAGATCTTGTCTTTAGAAAATATTTTTTTCTCTGAGGCCTATCGCAGAACTAAAACGTATCCTGCGGGAGCTAAAAGAAAATGTAAAGAAAAGCAAGAAAAAAAAAGGCAAGGGAAATCAGGAAAGAAAATTTGTTTATCTTGCTGTATTTATCTTATCGAGAAATTACCATATGCCCTCACGGTCCAATTTTCTTCACTTGCGTTCATATCTATATTTAGCGATTGATGTCTGCTAATTTTAATATTCTTAATTTTTTGTTTGTTTGTTTTTCAAGGTAACGCCAATTGTACCCCTCTCCCCTGAAGCATGGGCATTGTCGTTTGCAAAGTATCTGGAATTGAGATTTTACGCAGGAAACTACAAGCGTCGAGCGAGTGTGGAGCCATGCGGACATTCTCTTCACAAGGATCATTATCAGTACTTCGCTTACGCTAACATGGTAGCTTCCTTCAAGTATGTTTTTGTTTTTGTTTTATTTTGTATTGGTAAAGTTGGCAAACTAAACTGACCCACTTAGCTGCCCAGTTGTGGTAAGGGATTGACATTATTCCTTCTCCACCTGGGTGGGGGTATTAGTTCAGTACATGTTCCCCTCGCCCCCACCCTCACGTGGGTCTCGTGCGTCATAAAGTTTCCCTGACAGCTCGCTGAATCAATTATTTGATTTTGCATATTTGTTATTTTTATCATCTTCATACGCTTTCTGTATAATTGCACTATTTTTCTTCTTGTTGCTCTGATTTATATTGACGTAGTGATGTTTACTATTGTGTTACTATCGTAGGTACCGCCCCATCAAACTGTTTGAGATTGCCATCCCCCCGCCACAGATTTTTATTCAAGAAAAAACAAGAGATGCCAGTTTTTGGATCGGCGACTTGCGTGCCATGACAACAAGGTAGGATCATGTGACATGACAACAAGTCAAGATCATGTGACATGACAACAAGTTAAGATCATGTGACATGACAACAAGGTAAGATCATGTGACGTGACAACAAAGTAAGAACATGTGACATGACAACAAGGTAAGATCATGTGACATGACTTCAAGGTAAGATCATGTGACGTGAGTGTACAAAATAATGTTTTATTAGCCAACTGGACTCTCTCAGTATTCTAAGCCCAGTAATAATTGTAAAAATACATTTATAGCGCCAAATCCACTCATAGACAACTTTCATAAGTGGCTGCCGGATTAATATTCTCTTGTTCAAATTTAAATTAGTCCTTCTGGCCTCGTTTGAGATACTGTATTCTTTTGAATTTTGTACTGGAGAACGAGGCCAGAAAGGCTAATTTGAATTTAAACGAAAGAATATTAATCCGGCAGCCATTTATGAAAGTGGTCTATTGTCCATGGCGCTTTACATTAAAGATTATTAAAAGCTAAAAGAAAGTGAGAAATATCGGAATAAACTAAGCTAAAATTCTAAGATAATCAAAGATATTTATCATCTTAAAATTAAAACTGTTAAAAAATATACGTTTTTACATGTCTTTAAAACTTTCAATTGAAGAACTAGATCTAGTTCATAGAGTTTCATAATCTTGGTGCCGCCACAGCAAACATTAATAATGGCAGAGTTTATCTCGATTTTAAGAGCATGAAGTGATCAGAGTTATGCCTCTTGCTTCACCCGCTTCCTTGAGGGAATTTCTTACATTAGGATCCATTTATATACTTTTAAGAGATGCACTTTAGGAGCCAAGTTTCTTGCCCAAGAACTCAACACAATGACTCGGTCAGGTCTCTCCTAAAAAATTCTTTCTCTCCCCTGCCTTCCGCTTCCATTAAAATCAAGGACGGTAGCCATAGTTTTCGCTAAGAAAATACTCAGCACTTGTTCGCCAAAATTACGCCTGTTCTGTAGGCTATTTATCGGCTAAGTCTTTCTTGTATGGAGATGGAGCAGTGTTATAGAGATAACGATATTGGACAGCAATTCCCTTAAACCTTTTCGGAGAGTGGAGACCTCAAGAAGTTTTTCATGCGAACACACCTTTTCAGTTTTTTTTCCCCTCCCTTAAAGTTTCTGTTATCTCGTTACCCTTAACATTCTATGCATATATCTTTTCAGCATTTAAACATTCTTCTATTTCCTTTCCAGAGGCGACACGGTATTCGCTGCGATTTCTGATCGCCTTGAGTCTCTTAAAGATTACCCCATTATTTTGCCCGAGCGCCAAGCGAGGATACAACAGCTGTTCATAACACTCAGTGTAAGGACTCCGGAGTTTTTTTAATTACAAAATACAAATTGGTTTTATATGGATAGTCCGCAATGCGCTAGAAGTCCAACCGTGTTTTTTTCATCTTGAAATACAGGAAATGCCTTCTCTGCTGCTGAGAATATTCACATAGCCCTGATATAGCCAGTATTGTGCAGTTGTTCGTTTCATCGGAATTCCGGAAATTGAGTGTAGAAAGTTTCAATCATCGCGTATTAACTCTTCGAACCCTAACATCAGTATGCATATTCTCCATACTGTTCTCTATACATTTCCTAAGGTGCTGGCAAGGAGAATTTGTTTAACAATCAAGAGCCTTTTAAGTTGGTGATCATTTCCTTTATTCTCCTGACCTTAATGTGTGATTCTGGGGTGACATTGTAAGGAGAAATGAGGTGCTAGTCACTCTTAAGGATTAAAGGATTCATTTGATTTCTACTGCTTCAGACATTTTGACAGACGAATAGGTTTGACTAGAACGTCTGTGTTTCTCTTTCAGGGAACTTGAGTGTTGATTTCGACATCTAAGGAAAGATGTTTCAGTTGTGTTAATGTTGTCTATTAACCGTCATAGAATTATGTTTACAAAGCATTAGTTTACGAAGCATTATGTCCCACTTGTCTTTCCTAGGACGAGCACAAACGTTTCTTGGAACAAATTGAAATCGTGGAAAAGAAAGCGGCCAGTCTTCAAGAGCTAGATAATCCGCTGGCCATGGAGGACGTGGGCACCTGTGAACACCTGGCTCCAGAAGATAGACTGGCGTTAGAGTACGTCATAGCAAGCAGCTTGAATAGTCTCAAGAAAATCCTATGTGAAGCAGTTGAGAGTTGGAACAATACGTAAGAATCGCTTCTTGAGATTGCTTCATTTACTTTAGTGTATCGTTAGGAACTGCACGCAATAGTCCCTTTTACAGTGTGGGCTTGGTGGCCAGGCCTTTGAACAGGAGTGAGGCTAAGGGTGACCCTGTTGTGATAGAGACCTGTATCTAGTTAGCATGATAACAAAGTAATTTGCATTTGAAAAGCAGCAACATCTCTATCATAACAAGGTCACCCTAAGCCTCACTCCTGTTCAAAGGCTTGGCCACCAAGCCCACAACTGTAAAAAAGACTATTGAGGTTTTTATATTTATTCAAGTGGGGAAAGATATAACATCGTAAATTGGTTTATTGCTCAATTATTCAGCCTCGTTGCCACTGCCGCTCTCTTCCCCTCGAAGAAGAAAGAAAGAGGGCCCTGGGAATGAGTCTGTAGGTTATTAATAATTTGTGTGTTTTTGTCCATGTTCATGAAAAAAAAATAAAGGTTACAAGAATATGCTCAGGCTGAAAAGAAGAGAAATATCAAATCTATGACTTCTTCTTACAAGGAAGGGAGGCTGTTGTCTTCAGTGTCAAGCGATGCAAAGTCGGTATCCGAGGTAAGGTTTCCTTTGTCTGTTATGATTTCTTTACACAAAGGCACCAAGTTTTGTCCGGGCTCAATTTCCCCTGTCGGGTTCGTAATGTAGTGGTTGCTTTGATTGTTCAGGTGATTGTTGAGATATGCACGCTTTGATTGGTCGAGTATTAAGTCATGCCACACCATAATCACCTTGCGCCCGATGATTATGATACTTAAACACTAGTTTCCAGGGAAATGGACGTTGTGCGAGGTCTGAATGTTTTTAAAGAGTAAATAGATAAGATGGAGGGACAAGCAGTTGCTCTAGTAATCGTCTGGCCAATTACAAAGGAACAAGTATTCTCCTCCAGCACCTTTAGTAATATCGATTATTATATGGCTGTGTCTCACAAGGGCTGGGAACTACCGAATTCACGAATTTGATTGGCTGAAATCAATATCGAATAATTCAAACAATAACACTGTGGAATATCTTATTAATTCTTTCTCTTCATATCAACAGCAGCTGTCAAAATCGACTGATCTGATTGGTATACGTGCGTCTGACCTCAGTGTTCCAGATGGAAACCTTAGCCCCGCTATCACCCCCTGGGGATCAAGATCACCATCACCTCACCCCAGCCCTGACACAAACGAAGATGAACATGAAGTATTGACTAGGGCAGACTTGGAGGTACTCAATGCAACTACTGGTTTTCGACCTATTCAATTCCCTGAGAATGAAACCAGCACTCCTAGAGACTCCCCCACAGCCGGTATATTACCCGTAGGAGGGGTGGTCAAAGGACATTCCATGCCTGAGTCGAAAAGGGAGACTCTAGTCTGGGTTGGTCTTGACAAAGATGTTGAAAGGATTGAACGACCTGCCAACGCGATGAGGGCCTTTGTATCCGTTACACCGAAGCGGGAGGAACCAGAAATCTCTGTTAGATCAAGTAGCGGAGAAGTCGAAGGTGCAGCGGCTTCCTTTGAAAACAAACAGGCTACCGCTAAGGAGCCTTCAGAAGTAAAGATGGAAGGCCTGGAAAATGTTCCAGTGGATGATATGGATATCCGTGCTGAAAATGATCACTCTGGTGTCAATGTGGGCGGTACGGAGAGGCCAGTGGATGTTGAGGTGGAGAATAATCAGGGGGCAAATCTTGGGGTGCCTTATGGTAACAAGATGGAAGTGGGCAAGGGTCCCTCTGGCGACAGTATGGTCGAAGCAAAAGGTCCTTGTAATGACAAGATGTACGAAGGAACATTGACGAGCGTTTGTGCAGAGAACTCAGGAGGAGGACAGCTAGTTGAAAATGAACTGCACTTTGAAGGCAGTAGAACCACCTCTTGGTACTTTGCTGAAAAAGAGAGCGAGGACGAGGAAACCGATGAAATCTGTAATTCAACTTATGAAGGGAAACAAAATGTAAGTCATGAACAATCTTTAACGTCTCTGGAAGAGAGAAATGAACCTCATGGAACTGAGACCGTAAAGCTAAAGACCACTTTCATACGTGGTCATCGTAGAGTGGCGTCGTCCCCCCCTTTCATTGCTGTATCATCGAAGGAAAACAAGGTTGTTCCGGAGGGGAATTCCACTTTTGCTGTAGGCTGTGTGGAGAGAAGCAGAAGTGACTCTGATTTGAGTTCACATGTTAAACAAGACCTCAATGAGTCTGTGGTGAGATAATAATCCAGACCACTAAGCTTGCTATCAAGTGATCAATATGCAAATTCTCTTTTCAATATCAATACATTTTCTAGCGAACAGAAGATGAGAATGTACAAGCTTATCACCCAGAGGGTATTATACCGATAGATCACTAAGTTCAAGGAGGTCATCCTCCAGGAAATATAAAGTGGCTAGAAGAGAGAATTTAAGAAGAGAGAATTAAAGATTAGGTCTTGCAAGATAAAAGGGTTAGATAAGAAAGAACTGAGCAAAAGTGCGCAAATTATAATCCTAGAGCAAAATTTTAGTTGTGTAAGATCTACTGGGTGCTCAATGGGACAGAGTGTGCATCAGGCCAGTTTTATTAGACATGTCGCGCCCTTTACGCGCGCTGTTGTATCGACTATTGGGTTCATTTTTCGTGGATTAAATCATATGTTGTCCTTTTTATCTGAGATGTGTTTCACAAATGGGTATTTCGCTTCTGAAATTATGTAAACTTTGGATTGATTTTTGAATTTTTGTAACAGGACTTCATGTCGCCAAATTCTGTCTAATCATACTCGTGAGTAACAAATCAGACAGCCTCTCCTGGATTGTCTGATTTTGTTTATCACTCCCACGATAGCAGATCGAATTGGACCGCACCCGATCCTATCAAAGATTATCAATTTACCTCGTGTTGATTCTTTCTATTTTTCGTCTTTATGTAATCATGTTGCAATAAGTTGTCAACTGAGAGCAACTCAGAGAATACGATTGAAGATGAAACTGACGCAGGTAGGCGGGGAAATAAAGATAAGAGGGCCATGAACAAAGAAGCAAATGACTCTAATGATGAACGAAGCACGCACGAGGTCAGGAAAGTTAAAACGATACCATCATCGTTGAACAAGAAAAGTGAGTAAATAAACAGTGTTGTTTCTGCTTTACGTTTTTTGAATACGATGGCAATAGGTGTTGGACCGTTTTGTGTAGCAAAATCATTAAGTCAATCTTAACGAGGCACTAGTACAGAATTAACCCGTCATGAATACTGGTTAAGTTCGTTGTCAGTTAGTTTACAGAAGAAGGACGCTCCAGAAACCATACATTTTTTTATCCACCATTATAGTTCACCACTAAATTTTCTCCGGTTCTTATTGGTTTAAATCCATCACTTGACGCGATAGTGTTCATCCGTGGAAAGACACTATCAGCCCAGTGCCCGCCCGCGGAAAATACCCGGATGGATAGTGCCCGTCCGCGGAAAATACCTGGATTGATAGTACTCATCCGTGAAAAGTTTTGAATAGTTTGACGGCTGCGAAGTTAGGCAGATCGGAAAAACAGTGACTTTTCAATTCTGACAGGTATAACGTATTAAGCAAATGTACGGTTGCGAATTATTGACATTTGTGACAAGCTGTAGGCGCGGAAGAAAATTTAGTGGTGAACAATAAAAACAATAGAGTGTTTATGTCTCGGAACTATCGGTTTGATAGTTGCCCCTTGGAAACTTGATGTTCTTAAAACTAACACATTTGTTTTAAGAACATCAAATTTCCGCGGGGCAACTATCAGCCGATAGTTCCTCGACAGAAACAATCTATTGTTTAATTATACACTATGAATAAAATTCTGGCCCTAATTTTCTCCACCATCTTGCGCTTTTCGTGTTGTGTTTTGTTGTTTGTGATTTTTGTGTGTGTGTGTTTGTTTATAGATTAGCTGTATTTGCCTTGTTCATTTCTAGCTACACAACTGGTAGGCTATTATTACATAACACCGAAGGTTAATTACTGTCGAAACCAGGCTCTTGTTTGATGCGTTTTGCGCTCACTTAGATTTGTATATGATTGAAAGTCGCATATCTTGCTCTAACCAATCAGAAAAAACATGCATTTTCGTGAGCCAATTGCAATTCAAACCAAATTATACACCTGGTTGTTTTAAAGCCCTGTTCCCCCGCAAGGTATGGACTGCATCTCTCCTCACCTTTTGCACGTTTGCCATGGTTGGCACAATCACACTTTTCATAAAAGTGCTATCGCCACGTTTTCCCGCGCTTTAGAGGCACGTGAAGCACTTTCCGTCGTTGGCGTAAGCTGCCTCGTCCTCCTTCGCTTTCTGATTGAATTGATTGGTTTATTTTGCAGCGTGTCTGTTCTGATTGGTTGAATTTAATTTGCTTTAACTAAGTGTTGTGAGATACCTTTTGAAAACCAGTTTTGTTTACGTACACGTATGCAACGTTTGCAAACTGCTCTGCTGTCTTCACCTTTTTGCCATTTATCTAATGCGCAACATTTACGATGTTGCTCAGTAACTACTGAACAAACACTACTAAGTGCTGGTGTAGCCTCCTAATCAACTAAACAGCTGGTGACTTGCTCTTGACAACGGTTGCGATGAAAATAACCTTGAACGACCGATAATTTTAAATTTTTAACTGATAATATTGACTTGAATTATGTAATTTCTATTTCAGTAACACAAATTTATGTGGCCATTACCATTAAATTATTGTACGTTTCCCATACCCAGACCGACCTTATTGCTGAAGAAGTTTGTATCTGTTATCGAAAACATTTGGGCTCTAGTTAGGAAGACACGTAGCCGTCGGACGCGCACAGGTGACCAGGCTTTCTTCCCCAGTAGCCAGGCTTTCTTCCCCAGTAACCAGGCTTTCTTCCCCAGTAACCAGGCTTTCTTCCCTAGAGACTGGCTTTCTTCCCTAGATACCGGCTTTCTTCCCTGGTGACCAGGTTTTCTTCCCTAGTAGCTAGGCTTTCTTTCCCGGTAAACAGGCTTGTCCTGAGCTCAGACCCCCTAAATAATTCCATTTTTAATCTTCTCTGTTTTCTTTTTTCCTTACTTACCCACCTAATTCACGTAAGGGAAGGCGACGGGAAACGAAACAATTTATGAGTATGGCCTTTTAACATAAAGTTTTTCATCATATAACGGCTGAAATTTTAACTTGATAATCAGCTGAATATAATAACAAGGATGGAGAGGTTTAATTATCTTGACCACTTTTAATTTCTGCTGGAAATGTCTTTAATCCAATTCAATTTGAATGTTTCTTCATTTAGTCTTCCGACTGCTGAGAAAAACCCTCAAAATTTAACGCTTTCACACGCCATGAAATCTTAATGAACGATAACCACATAAGTGACTTGATGCTCCATCTTTACGACTTCGGTTTTTATTGAGTTCTCTCTCTGAAGGTCTCCAAAACAACTCACTCTGCGAATTCCTTTGCGAAAAAAAAGACTCTACTAAGCGATAACCGCATGAATAATGTTACGCCTCATCTTCTCAGTTTCGGATTTAATAGACTTCATTCTCTGGGAGTCTTAACACGCACCTTACTCTGAGAATTCCTGAGTTTGGTATGGGACACTTTTTTTCAAATTGACGAATGTTATGTTTGAACATTTTTTCATTCAAGGTCTTTATAGGACCCAGTCTGTGGGGGCTTCAAACCAGCGCGGTTCACGAAAAAAGGGTAGGGCTGGAGCGTGTATGCGTGATTGATCTCCAGTCGTTGCATTCTCGTACGTCATCCATTCCTGACATTCAAGATAAAGACATTTTTACCTGTTTAACCTCTTTCCCAACGCAAAGAGCAGAAGCTTTTCATCTCAGGAAATGCTACACTCCATACATACTGTATTTTTGTTCCAAAATATATCTACATCCGCCATTTTTGATCTTGAAATTCCTTGTCAAAACAAATTGATACATTCAGAGTGATCTGGAAAGAAGACGAAGCTACATTGGGTAGGAGTGCCGGGGACGCTGGAGGGGCTGTCAACTTTCTTTCCCCACCACAGATTATTTTTTTTATGCACTCTCTACGGATTTTTCTCCCCATATTTTGGCTTAACTACGGTGTAAAACGGACAACGCTATTGTATCCTTTTATTGTATCCGATAGTTCATGGTGGTGCACGAACCAATTTTCGGTCGAACATCTCAGAGCAGCAAAACTTCGAGGAGTTATTCACAACTTGCACGAAGAATAATTCATCAATTCTGGGCGTTCAATAACATTACTTTGGTGTTACAGTCTTTAACGTTGTGATCAAGGCTCATTTAACTAGGCAAATCTACAGTCATCTTTATGACATAAATGACTAGTAAAAAATGTCCCCGTCATCGAAGGATACTTTCTGAGAGAGAGGCCTCATTTTATTTACCTTCATTTCAAAGGTGTCGTTCGTTCCTACTCTTGGGCTCTCAATCAGCGGCAAACGACTGCTAAAAAGGGTAGGAGGTGGAATTTTTCAAACATTCTGTTAAAGTTCCTTATATTGAACAAATTTTGATTAGCTAATCTTAACGTGTTTGTATACGGTCTAAATCTGCCAACGTATGAAAGAAATGCATCCTCGTTCAGCAATTAAGTGGTTCCCGGTAAATTGAACAAATTTAGTCATACTGACAGTGTTAGCTTAAAAACTGCTCAACAAAGTGAACCAGTAACAATTTACCGCGGATAAACAATGTAATATAAACTTACCATGTGAAAGATTTCGTATTATCTTAACCAACGTAAACCAAACCTAGACTTTCCGACCTGAATGGCATATTTCCATCGTGTCTATTCATGTTGTTACATTTTAGCGTTCAATTAATCTATAAACTTATTCGTATTTCTGTTTGAGTGATTTAACATTACTTCTCGTCAACAGCCTTTGTCTCAGATGGAGGAGACCTGGATGCTACGCTTGCCTCAGACGGTATGCCGCTGACCAAACTACTACTAATACTTGCAGATGTGCTTTTGACCAAAAACTAATTTCTGTTCCAAAATCTAACAGCCTCGAGCCCTATGTCAGTCTATCATTGTCATTACAAACTGAGCATCACTGTCATTTTTTCCTTGAAGGGTTCAACTTCCCCTACAAATCAAAATATTTTCTGTTGTTCCAGGGGAGGGGGGTAAGACATTATAATTCACCTCACTATAAGTTGATAAGAAGTTGAATGAGGATGTAAAGTAAAGCTTGATTTTTGCAGCATCTGCTGGAACCAGTAAGCGTGGTAAAGTGAAAAATATCATCTCATCGTTTATGTCCGGCTCTGCCTTTCAGCCTGTACCGTCCACTTTGTAAGTAAACCCTCTTGAACCTCTCTTTTGTTACTGTTGGTGATATTCTCCCTCAAAAAAGTAGCTGGCCTCCCGTCGTGTTCAGAAGTTTGGGATACTAACGAGTTTTCATAGTGATGGACCTCGAAGCTTCAATGAGTGGCAAAAAACTTAGCAATGCTCCATAACTTTTACACTGTTAATACAGTTTCATTAGAAAGGCGTTGAGAATAAAGAAAATTATCAACGAGGGACGGTATTTGATTTTCTCACTAAATTCTCAGAGCCAAAATTACAAGAAACATGTGGCAAACAGTGTGGAGGATTGATGTCCATAATAAAGTATATTCTATATACAAGGCTAATAGATTAGGAAAAAATTATTAAAATGTTTGAACCAAACGTTTTCGGCTGTTTGCCATCATCAGGGTTGAAAATAATGACCGTGTGGAGAATTGATACGTAGATCTTGGAGGTGAAAGAGTCAAGATGATATCTTTTATTCTGAGGTCAAGTGGTTTTTTATAATTACTTGACGATCGTTTTTTGGAGTGTTGAAAAGTTCTGTTCAAAGATGTTTTATGAAGGACGATTGATAATGAGATCTAAATTTGGTGTTTTGTTTACAGTCCAAGTCACGAACACCACCTCCTCCCCCCTGGGGAGAAAGTTCTCGTGTTTGTGAGTGAGAAAGAGACGAGCTCCATCATAGCTTACACACTGAGGTGAGAAGATCGCGTAGGCACGCACAACGTGCAGACAGACTTTTGATATCCATTTGCCGTGTATTTGACATGTGTAACGGGTGTCAGAAGCTGATATCCTCGACAAAATGATTTATTTGCTGCTACTGAGATACGCAACATTCTGTAGGACGGAACGAGATGTATACCCCACTCCCCTTTCGTAACTCTCTCCCACCCCCCACCCCCGCTCTCCCTTTCTCCTCCTTATTCCAGTATTGCGTATTTCTGTATATTGAAGGAGGTTTTTTTTGGGGGGGAGGGGTGGGAGTTGTGTTTAGATTTGGTGAATTTTAAACTTATTCCTGAGGGAGGAGGTCGCAGTATTGAAGTAAGGTAAATTTTATACTTTAGTTCTGGAAAGCGGCCACGTGAATACTATGTGCAAACTTAGTTTGTCGCGGATTATTACTTTCGGTTGAGCTGTTTTATTGAACAGTTAAATATGCTTAAATTTTATTGGTTTGGTTTACGATTAACAAGCGTGATCATATGTCTCTGATTTTGTTTCAGTACAAAGGAATACAACGAACGCTTGCTTCAAATTCAGGGGACTCTATCAGAGATCAAGAACGGGGCAGCCAAAGATCACCTACAGAACAAAGGGTGAATATAGATTGCTTTATATGATTGGTACTATACCTACTGAAATACAAGATTATGTGACGAGTCGCTCTAGAGTTATTCGAGGTTGTGTGACAAGTCACGGAAATAGTATCCTGCAAAAAGTAAGGTTTCATCATGTGTTAAAGAGCGCATTCTCAAGGTAGGCTGTTCTATTACTTGATCACTTTAACAGAACAATTTCCATATTCGCTCCGTTTCCTGGCCGTCTTTATGGAAAGCTTTTTTATGTTAGCTCTTTTGTTTTTCATTATATAAATCGAGCGAAATCACTGACATGAGCAACAACAGTTCACAAGTTTTTTAACACTGTTTTCCACTTTCTCATTTTTCCGGCCTCGCCCTTCCTCATGTTTTCGGCGTCTTTGCGCGCTTTTAATCGAGTCTTCGTTTCTTCGGAGTTTATCTCAGCGATGCAATTTCCTGCACTTTCTATTGGTTACGTGTTTCTACGCTCTCCATAATAATTTTTCCACACTTTCAACCAGTCACATGTTTGCCCACACTTTTGACATGTTTTGTTTGAGGCAAAGATTCGTTAATGTCTCATTTTAATTGCATCCTTAACAAACACGTCAGAGCTAACATTCCAACAATTTCTTTACGTCAGGGACGTCAGTAAAACTACGGATTCATCTGTCAAAAGCCAGTCACATCTGGACAGTCATTGTGGTACGAAGACGTACATTAGAGTTGATTCCAGTCCAGAGGGGGGAGAAGGTAATTTGTTGTCGCAGAAATGATAGATCAATGATAGATCAATGATTGATCAATGATAGATCAATGATAGATCAATGATAGATCAATGATAGATCAGTGATAGATCAATGATAGATCAATGATAGATCAATGGTAGATCAATGGTAGATCAATGATAGATCAATGATTGATCAGTGATAGATCAATGATAGATCAATGTCAGTATCTTAGCAACTGCGCACATACCCCTCCACTTGCGCAAAAGCAGTCCAGTGATGACAACTTAGGGTCAATGTTGCGTTAGGGGAGGGGTAGTTGCGCAGGTGTTTGGATACTGACATGGATCCCTAATTGCAAGGTTTTCCTCTCATAGAAATGATCATATTTCCAATGTAACTGCGAACTTCATGATACAAATTAGAGGATTAGTTGAAAACTAGGAGCCTGTCCTTCGACTGTTTCCGTTTATCCGTTTTCCGGATTTTTAAGCTGTGGAAATATGGATATCTGTAAATGCGATCTAATCTATATTTTGACGGATCATGAAGCGACGAGGAGAATTATGTTTTGGGCAGGATGAAAGTATGAGCTAACTATCAAGTAGTCTAGATCAGTAGCTCCGTGCAGCGTTTTATCGTCATCAGTTCCCTTTTGTTAACGCGGTGAAAAGGTTTGTAGATGAAAAATTTTGCGGCGAATTAAACCTCACCTGTTATTAAAACGTTGTTATTGTTATATCTGCTTCAGGAAAGGGTTGTCTCTAGGGCGTGGTATAAATGGGCTTCTAAAAAGATTGGTTCTCGAGTGAATACCGCCTAGTGTTGCAAACCAGTAAGATCAGTTTCGATTTACTTCTGACTTATGCACTCTTTCGGTTAGGTTATGTGCATTTAGACATTGTAAATACCGAAACGGGACTGGCATTGGAAGAAGAAGGGGAGACGCCTTTTGTTGCCAAAGAAAAATTAGAATTCATGAGCAAGAGTCAGGAATTCTGCGCAGAGCCTGAGCCACAGGTAGCCCAGCATGGTAAACACCGGAAAGTGGAGAGAGTTGTGTTTACAAAAACTAAGAACACCAGTAGTCCCAAGGACGAGGCAAAGAAGATAGAAAATAACGTAACGCCTGACTTTCCGGCTCAAGATGATATCGGTAAGAATGCACAGATTTAGTGAGAAGTGAGTAGGCTGCGTGCC